ATTCCATATCTATAAAATATGATTAATTGTGAAAAATTGAAATGTTGAGCGATATAGGAGAAAGAAACAAGGAATTTTCTTTTCATGGTTTAAAAGGTTGAAATTCACTATTAGGAAACATGCAAGTAATTATCAATTCACTTAGTACTTATTTCCGTGTACACTAGACCAATGTCGGCTTTGGACCTGCGTCGCTGCATGCAATGGGTTAAAGTAACATGTATACTGGAGCATGCTAACCCTCCCTTTTCGCTGAAAAAAGAAAACTATGACAAAACTTTTCCTTGTAGAATGAGTGTTGTAAAATTTTGGTCTATCGACAAGCAGGAAGTAGCTACACGGCCTGATGTAAATAAATGCTTACTCGCTACAACTCAACATCATCAAGCTGCAGACCCAAGTATTAAATCATTCCCTTTAATAAGAGCTAAGAAAACTTTGACGAAAATTTTCCTTGTACAATGAGTGTAGTAAAATTTCGAACTATCGACAAATAGGAAGTTGATACACGGCCGATGTATAAATTGCATACTCGCTACAACTAAAAATTATCAAGCTGCAGACCAAGTATTAAATCGATCCCTTCAATAGGAACCGTGAAAACTTTGACGAAAGATGTCTTTTTTTCTTTTGGACGGCGTTGAGCGGTCTTTCATAAAGTTGTCACATGTTTAGACGTGTTTATATTATATATAAATATATGCACACACTTTCAAACTTTCATCATAATCATCGTCGTCGTCTCCATAGGTATTTTTATTACAATATACGAATGTTATTGTAACGAAAGGAATTTTGTGATTCATACCTATAAATGATGGCCTGACCATTAATTCTGGACACCAGAAACGCTCGTTACCAACGTTAATCATAGTCCGATCTCACTGGTAATTCATAGAATTTCTCTAAATAGGATGATTTGGCTGATGCTTCAAGTTCCTGTTCGAAATCAAGAGCCGTAAAACAAAGTTTTGAATTTCCTTAATGTCCCTGACAATTTCATTATCAGCTGTTGTGACAAACATGACAAAGTTATAACCTCTATCGTGGAAGATATGTTGTTAATAAGCGGTTAAATCTCGTCCTGCGATATCAAGACGTTTGGTGGCTTGTGGTAGTGCATGTCCTGCAAAAATGTAAATGATAGTATCCATTTCAATTTCGTATAATCAAATCAAATAAAGTCCCAAAGACATAATATACAGTACAGGGAGTTGTTATAATAGATCAGAATTTAGTATGTATTTTAGACTAGATACCATCTAATTAACCATCAAGATGACCTCCAAAGGCTGTCGGTGATCATACGATTAGATATGAACATACATATAAACATAAATACACAGACAAGCACGTGCAATCGTATAACGACAATTGTTCTAGTTCTGTTTGAATTCATGTCATTGATTGAAAACATATTTGAAACGTTTATAATATAATCATCGTTTTACTTGTATAAAAAAGTTGGTTTTTTTTTTTTTGTGTGTACAGAATCATTCAAAGAAATGGATCTTCCCGGTGACTCCTAGTTTCACTTTCGAATGTTGAAATTCTTTTCTTTTTAATAACTGAACATGCGTATCCCATCTCCAGCTAAGGGTTAAAGTGAAGGGCAAATGAATATGGATCTAAATGAGTTGAATTATTGACTTGCAAGCCAGTAATACATTAGCGATGCTTTTGAGCTTATTTCGACAAAATTGAACCAAACTGACTGCTAATAGCGAAATAGTATTTCACAATTACGCGTTTATTAATGTTTGAAACAAAAGAGTCATACATGTACTAGTATAGTATTTATTTATTCCCCTTAAATTAGCATTATTTTTAATTTGACATTAGCATATATTATCCTTTTGAAATTGCTAAATAAATCTACTTTTGGAATTCCCTAATACATGCAGTGATTAAGTAGTCTGTATCCTTCACATAAAGTCTTTTTACAGCACCATTTTTATCAAAATGCTTATGCTAATCAGAAAATTGATCGTTTGAATATTGTTTGCCAAACATCCAATGGCAAATATTTCATGCATATTGTGACTTGGATGGATAGTTGTCTCATTTGCACTCATACCACATCTTCTTATTTATATATATTAAGCACGTTTATTAGGAAGACATAAATACATGTTATTGTTTTTATATGGTTCCATGTCGGATAGAAATAAAATCTTTTAATTACCTGTCCACATAGGTACAACATGTGATACTCCATCACCGATATCGATAATAATTCCAGTTGTCGTTCCAGAGGCAATTTGGGATAAAACTGCCTGCATTTGGACGGAAAAGGCAGGACTGTTGAACGTTTCGAACATACTCTGAAAAAAAGTTTGCATAAACTAATCTGAATGAAACTTACATTTGCGTATAGTGTTTTCATAATTTGAGAAATCTCGTCGAATACTAGTACCCAATAGAATTGTTTAGCATATACATGTATGTGAGATTGTATGCGGAGTATTTCGCGACCGTTTCTTGTATAAAGAAATGTGATATATACTACATAATCCTATTGTCTGTTAGAATAAAAAAAAAAGCCAGTATTAAAACAGAAAATAATGTAATTTATAATATAATTTAATTCATTGCAGATTGGTTGAAAAGCTAAAGTTGAAACAAAAGCTGAATGATTTCTTAAACCTGAATCATACGTTCCCTGTTAGCTTTGGGATTAAGAGGTGCATCTGTCATCATAACAGGGTGTTCCTCTGGAGCCACTCTAAGTTCAGTATAAAATGTATGATGCCATATTGTCTCCATGTCGTCCCAATTTGTAACTATTCCATGTTCTATAGGATAGTTTATGGTTAACATTCCACGTTTTATCTGGGCTTCATCTCCAACGTAATTATCTTTTGCTATCCCTACCATGACACCCTGCAAAAAAAGAAAAAAAAATATTTTAGCAGGTATTTGTATATTTTATTTCGGATACTATCGAAAATTTCTTTACAACGTATCGGATATGTTCTTAAGAAAGACGCGATAGCATAAATACTCCGGCCATCTAATAAAAGTCATATTTTTTTTTAATAAGAGCCACATTCTATATGTGCCTGTCCTAAGCCAGGAGCCTGTAGTTTAGTGGTTGTCGTTGATTCATGTCTGTCATATTTGTTTTTTCGTAAATTGTTTTGTTATAAATTAGGCCGTTAGTTTTCTCAATTGAATTGTTTCATATTTTTCATGTTGGGGGCATTTTATAGCAGACTATACGGTATGGGTTTTCTCATTGCTGAAGGCCGTACGGTTGACAATAATTGCTTACATCCACTTCAAATGAACTTTGGTGGATAGTTGTATCATTGGAAATCATACCATACGCATCTCCTTATTTGTATAAGCAAGGATTTATATGGTAAGACATACTATATATTAATCCTTGGAGCAAGTAAATTGATTTTCTCTGTATAATTTATTTAAAATAACAAACAAATGGTAATCAAATTCACCAGCACAGCAGCCAGACTGAGTGTTTATGTACTTGCATGAACGTACGGATATTGTATTATCAATACTTGCTGTTATAAAACTTTGGAAATTATTTTAAATTAAAGAATATGTCTCCCTCAAGCAAGACTCTGATTCCTTGTCCTGCTATTTGCTATACATTTCGTCCTTTTTGTTTTGGTTTAATCAGCTCTTCGAATTTTGAAGAAGTTTTAGATTTTCTAATATTTCGGCCTCTGTCATCACCGAAGAGACATTTATTGTCGAATGCGCAGCTTGTGCAGCAAAATTGGTAAAGTTAATGTTATTACAAATCTTTTTTCTAAAAAAAAGTTTAGAAATAAATTTTCATGTAATATCCATCTAACCTGATATTTAGGGCGACCAGTTATGGCGGGAAAAACTACTTTAGGTGCATCATTTCCAGAAAAAAACCTGATTTAACCATTCCGGATCCGTTGTCAATGACAACTGCAGGAATGTCTTCGTCAATTACGTGGAAAGGCATACTTTTTTAATTCCAAAACTACAGATATAATAAACATTGGTCTGTTGTCACTATCAAAGTGTTTCATCCAAAACTTGGTCAAAGAAAAAGAAGTAGTTCAATATGTTTACAAAAAGAAAACTGGCTCCAATAAGAATGGCTGCATTGCACTTTCGATGTGTAATCCCAAACTCCATATATATATAGAGCGTTATCGTTCCGGTCATACTTCCCTTTCCCCAGAAACACGGGTAAAGAATCGCAACATTATGCCACAACTGTTTCGGAGTTTAGTGTATTCTGTGTTCTACCATTTTCAGAAGGTGGATGAGAACTCGTAGAAGAGTGAGGAGAAAGGGGACAAGAAGCTGGTTCCCAAGAAGGAGACAGAAAAGTTCATTCAATACTCTCCTTTAAAAACTTCATAGTGAGGACTCGATCGAATGTAGAAATTATTAAACATGTGTGTAGAATGGTCAAAGAGACATTCAGTCTGCTTCTTGGTAAAATTGAAACCATTGATCGAAATAAATCATCTTTCAGTTATTTTTTTCAGCACTCTTTCCTTTTACTCTTACTAGAACTCAACTTACTTTACTCGCCAATTTTGCCATGTTGTTTTGTTTGGTAATAAAAAAAAAATGTATAATTTCTTAACTTCACATGTATATCAGGCCTTTACCATGTTTACCATGTTTACGAAGTAAATTATTTCTTTTCAATTAAAACATGTAAAAGCTAAAGTAGTTTTTAATAGAAACATCAAATGATTGAAATTATGTGAGAGAAATCAAATTATATCTTAATTTAATTATGAAGCATAATAAACGTATTAAGTAATTATTGCTTACTATATTTGTGTCCTTATATATGTATGCATCACAACTTAATTTATATATATAAGTTATGCCAGTCTACTCGGAATTAATGTCCAATTGATAGCAAACATGCATTGCTTACTCTGAATTCTGACTACCATCATCGCTACATTTTTAAACTTTCCATATAAGAGCAAATGGACTGTCTTGTTGGACATAAGTATTAAAAATCTACTTACTTTGACATGTTTGAAGGTAATACCTATTTTTAAACTGGAGTTATTTCCCATTTGTTTTGATTGACAATTTCTTCTTACCTGTAATCTATTTTTATCTACGATTTGCAAAATTGTATTCAATACGTATTATATACAGAACAAAGGTAACAAAAAAAAACTGGCTGGTAACAACCGTTACCGTATAGTTTTTCTGCACGAGTAGTCGGGTCAAGTCCGAGATGATAGCCGAGGACCTTGACCTGACTACAAGTACAGAAAATATACGGCTGGTTGTTACCATCCCGTTTATTTTGTTACTTTTGTTAACTTTGTATCTGACTTGCGCATGTTGTAGCACTTTTTTAATTAGAAAGTAATACATTTTGCATTTAAGACGAATGCATAATTAAAAAGATTGAACACACAAAATTTGCATACCGGTTTATACCACGATGTTTGAGATATTTAGTCTTTAATAAATCAGGGATTTTGCGTTAACACTAGCGCTTCTCCATTCTATTAGCTGTACGCGAGTAAAATTATTGCTTATTCCTTTGATACATATCAGTGAAGTAGGAGTAGAACGAAAAGTTGAGAAAGGGGGGACTTCTTAAAGTGACAAGCAAAAAAAACAACGTTTTAATCTATATTTTCTGTCATAATAGTCTACTAGTCTAGAAATAAGATAATGTCCTCTTTCGTACCCACTTTATATTCTAATAACAAAATAAACTGCCAAAGAGGAGGGTATTATAGTTTTGCCTCTCACTTTTACAAGTGTGTAATGCGGTTATGGTCCCCTTTCCCGGCTCCTACGCCCCTGCATTTATGTAAACCCCTCCACACCAAGAAAAAAAAACATACATACGTACAAACAAACAAACCCAAACAAATAAATATGTTTTGCCTCCTCCATCCCCCATTTTGAAAGTGGGGAGAATCGCAACCTTCCCCGGCTCATCCCCCCCCCCCCAAAAAAAAAACACCCAAAAAAGAAAATAAACAACAAAAATATGAATAACAGATTTAAGACATTTAAAAATTCAACGACGTATGCAAATGAAACAAGAAAGAGTAATCAGATAAACGTAAAAACATGTATAAATATTGTCAAAATCAATAAAATAAAGAACAAAATATATAAATATACAGTCCGCCAAAAGTTAAGCACCACCTATTTTTATTGCTACATAAACGTTTTCTCTTTTTCGAGGAATAACTGATTTTTAATTAAAAAAAAAATCAGTTATTCCTCGAAAAAGAGAAAACGTTTATGTAGCAATTTTTCTAACATATACCATAAACAAACCATAAACTTAAGTTTGGTCACTGATGCAGGTTCTATGCATTTAAATTTTGAGTTCATAGAAATAGTGCAAATTACACAAATCAGAAACGGAATTTAAGTTTCACTGTGACTTTATTTTTTTACAACAATTAATGACACAATATCATTAAAAGACTCTACAAATAATCTTTGGTATGTTCGGCAAATTAAATGTCAATATTTGAGTCAATAGGATGTGTAACCACCTGTCTTCCGGTAAAGATCCATAACACGGCGTCTCATATTCTGTACAAGACTTCTGAACGTTAGTTGAGGAAATCCTTTCCATTCATCAACAATTTCCACTATTAAATCACCACGATTTTGCAAAAGTAGATCTCTGCAATTGAGATTTCTGCCAATGGCATCCCAGACATGTTCGATAGGGTTCATGGGTGGAGACATGGAAGGCCAAAAGATAGTGTCAATAGCTTCTTGCTCTTTGTACTCGGTTACAATCCTTGTCCTGTGTGGTCTAGCGTTGTCGTCCATGTTCACGGGTCTTGACGCAAATGGGTGATTAACAAAATTAGGGACTACAATGTTTCTAAGCACCAAATCCCTGTATGTCTGTCCGTTCATGTTACCCTGTAGAATACGCATACCAAGCATACAACGATATGAGAAGCAACCTTATACTGTAACACCATCAGCACCAAATGCAGTCGTTGGGCAAATGTTGTGTTTGTCATAGGCAGTATTCTTTTCCCGCCAAACTCGTACTCTGCCGTCTACTGGTTGTAACAGAAACCGACTCTCATCTGACCAATGAATTTTTTGCTAGCTTCTCATGTTCCAGCGTTAATGATCATTAGCCCATTGAAACCTGATTATACCGTGCCTGGTTGTTAGGGCAGGTCTCTTGACAATACGACGTGCTCTTAAGTTGCCTCTATGAAGTCGACGGACCAATGTTCGAACATTAACACTACCACATGGAGGCCAGTGGTGTCTAAGCTGCGGGACAGGAGTAAATGGGCTAGCTTTAGCACGACGAATAAGCAGTCTGTCATCACGACAGGTAGTTAAACGGGGTCTTCCGGACCTTAGTTTATCATTTACAGTTCCAGTGTCAACATGACGTTGTAAAAGTATGACAATGACGGTGTGATTAACATTGAAATGGTTTCCTATGACCCTAGTGCTCCTACCGGCATTTTACATGCCAATTTCTTGCCAACGTTCAGCCACAGATAACTGACGCCTTGCCATATTACATAATGACTTGATGAAGGTCAAATTTCACCTGTACGCGGAACGGTAGGAAAATGATTTAAAGGTTTGTAAAAGTACAGATGACCTTTAATAAAAAGTTGCTTGACGGGTTTATCGGAGTTCAATCTTTTTAATCGAAATGAATTTTCTTAGTGTATGTTAAAGGCAATTCATAAAACCAAACATTAATAATTTTTTCGCAATAGTTAAAAAAATATTGCCATTTATATTTAGGTGGTGCTTAACTTTTGGCGGACTGTATATAAATAAAACCTGTTTCTCTGTTTTATGTGGAAAAAAAATTATTTATTTTGTCTCGTTTTTAATTTTTGAATCCACTTATTTTTTATTTTTTTTTTTTTTTATTTCATTAATTTCATGCTCATTACAGTAATGTGATATTCGAGTAGACCCAAGTATTGATCATGTGACACAATATTTTTTTTTCATTTTCCATCCTTATATCCAAAATGGGTGGACGTTTATTGACGTTGAGATTGATTTTGTGCTATCACAATTCGACTTAAGCAAATTCCTTGAATATGAAGAGAAAAGGGGAAATCCTCCGTAAAAATCGATTTAGACTTAACTGCTAGGCAAACCGACGAGAGGTTTGTACATGGAAACATTTTGTGGTTGCAGTTACTCTTGCAGTCAGTAACTTCGTAGACACTTTATCTAATTTCAGCATATTGGGACATAGTTAGATTTTTTTATAATTATTATTTTTATGAACACTTTTCATGTTAATTATATTTAAAAAAAAACAAGGTAATTAGTATATGTAAGAGAATGATAATCCCTTTCTTCATGAATAAGTACGAGCGTTAGCGAGTACTTATCATGAAGTTAGGATTATCATTCTCTTACAAACTTAGAATATTGTAAAGTGCTCAAGGCTCAAATGATCTATTCAAGAATTAGTTTCATTGTCAGTGTAATGTTTTTAATGTATGCATGACTTCCTTTTTCGGCATGTCATTTATGGATTAGTTTTAGTGATGTGAGGACTTTCTTATCATTTGGGAAATATTTTTTAAAAAAATGTGTTATAGATATTAGGTGACACAACAGTAGAAAGAAAAGGTAGGAGTTGTATGTTTCCTGATTGTGAGTATGAATGTAAATCATGTAATATTTTAGTGAGGAATTATCCTTTTTTTATTTACAATTTATATCAATTAATACATTTGAGTTACAACTAAATTCTATTTCACAGCCAATAATTTGGTCCGGCTTTTTACATCAAATACTGTTTCATTATGTCAGGGAAATGTTAAAAAATAATGCCCTTAAAAGTTTTTAATATGTTCAAAATTAAATTCCTGTTTTTTTTTATCGGAATACATGTATTGTAAATAACTATTCTCCCCAACCGCTGATCAAGTAATCAAAGTTTTGGAAAGCTAAAGACTTAGGTTATTTTTTATCTGAAAGATTTTTTATTTTTTATTTTTTGCATTGCTTTGGTATTGTTTAATTTTATAGTAATTTGAAGTTATTAATATTTTCATAATAAAATTCACGGTACCAATTTTACTGCGCCAGTAAACTTCAACTTATTTTGAGATTTTTGTTTATTTCACAATTCAACTATTAGTCAGTTTCAATCACTGTGTGATAAATCCTTTCAATCTGATAAATGTGCTTCGGGGCAGTTGTAACTCATTTATAGAAACTCTTTGTTTTGAACTGTAAATAGACCCAAATAATAGAATAATCCCTTACTAAGAACATGATTTACATTCATTCTTCACAATTAAGAGGCATCCAATCCTACAATTTCATTGGTCGAGAGTACTTTGCCATATTCTAAGGTCACAAGGTGTGCGATAAAGTGCCTACGAACTCACTGAATGCACGAGTGACTCTATTCATAAAAAGTGTCCGTGTAACACCCGTTATAAACATATGCGATTTTTTTTTAAATTAGTAGTTTCATATGACTTTTAGTCATTATTTGTATTCGTACATGGATATATTTCAATGGTTGACACAAATATAAATGAAAAACGTTAATATGAAAAATTCTTTGTAAGATATTTCATTAGTTTCATTTATGTTAGTTTTTTTCTCAAACAAAAGCTATACGAAGATAGAAGTTTGAAGTTACCAGTGTAAAAAGTATACGTTTTTATGTGAGAACTGTAATCGCTAAATAAATTGCATTAAAGAAACAATGTCAAGTTCACAATTATCTTGCTAAGTTTGAATATTTTCTAATAGTTTTCTGTTCTCATTTTATTTTTTCTCAACACCAACACAACTTTGAATGTTCTTTTTTGTCATTAAGAAGTCATAAATCAGGATGATGTCTACCAAAGCAGCAAAACACATTCCAAGTATGCATAATGCAAATGAGAAACCATAATCGAACAATGCTCCGCCTGTGATGTCATCTATATTGTTTACAAATAAAACCAGTCCTATGAGAATGAAAGCCACTGAAAGAAATAAATGAATCAGGTAAGATTTTACAGTCTTTCGAGAGAGAAAAAAGTCACCACTTGTGCTTATTTTTTGTTTGCTTTTTAATTTTTTATGTCTTTCAACGTCAAATGTAACAAATATCTGTGAATATTAAATTAACTATTTCCTTTGCCTTTTCAGTAATGTGTTACCATATTTTCATAACAAATGTTAAACTACATTTTACTCCAGATGGTGACGTATTTATTCTATGTTGCATTGTTACATTTCAGATAGTTCCTGAGGCAGTTTGTGCATTTTTTATGAATAATATGTTAAAGTATTCGTCGTACGTTTGACGGTAGCTAATATTTCCAACTAGACTGTCCGACAAAATAATTGGCGCAAGAATGATATTAAGACTTTCAATAAGGAAAATAAAAAAAGTATGAAATCTATCTCAATTTGAGAATCGCCAAAGTGATAGCTTCAATATAACACTTATCAACTGCTTTCATTGTGAAAGTGATATCCTCGTTGGCTCAGCCAGCTACATGTAATGCAATTGAAGAAATATATACATGTGTTGGAGTTGTTAGGGTTGAAAGCAAATTAAAACCAACCTGCATGACAAGCAAAATGTCATCATGGACGATATTTTCAAATACAATGAGCTGCACATATATACCATCATGCCTGCAAGCCATTACACAGATTCATTTTTGATACAACCCTTGAGAAAAGGGACATAAGAAAAACAT